CGTGGACCACCACTGATGTCGTTGTGGGCACCGCCGCAATAGCAGCGCGATCTGTCACTCAGATTGTAGTGCATGTCTCGCTCCGGGTCCGTCCTAGCCTTTCTTTTGCCTAGAGCCGTTCCTGTCGCTTGCGATGACTTGGCTGCCTTGACTTCAACATGGTTGGCAGGAACTCCGTTACCCAAAGCCGTGATCTGAGCCTTGGTCTTGTTCCCGAAAATTGCATTCAGCTTGGACTCGACTTTGTCCAGCGTAGAGTCGTTTTTCGTGAACGACACACCCATTCCCCACAGTTGTCCCGGCGGTACCGCCAGTACGTTGATCAGCATCAGCTGCTGCAAAATCAGGCCGATCTCTAGCACATCCACGCTGTTCCGGTTAACCTGGTCTCTTGCAGCCTTGATCTGTCGGAATAGGTGCGATACACTCGTGAAATCAGAGGCAGCGATTTTCTCAAATTTCTGCACCAACTCTAGCTCACCGGACGCGACGTTGAGGTCATAGTGCTTCTCGATAGCACTCCAGATTGTGTGCACCAGCTGCTGCATCAACTGCTTGTCAGTAAACCCTGACAGAAGGGTTAGGTTGAACAGGTCCTTAATGTACGACGGCTGCTGACAGCTGAACGTCTCTTGCAGCGAATGCTCGATCCTCTTCTTGTCTGCCGCCCCGTCCCGTAGCGCCTCCAGCACCGGCTTGCTCCGGCGATGTTGCTCGTAGCGGCTAGCAGGCTTGCGCCGACCTTGCTGCAGCTCGTGAGATACGGTCAGATATCGCTAACGAGGTTAGAGAACTTAGTAAGTTTCTATTTCGCTATAACCGCACGCATTGGGATGCGGCTAGGCGAGTACTCAAATACTTAAAATGTCTACATGAACTCAACAATGTGTATGAAACTCACAATACAATGTATTTACTTCGTTCCTCTATTCATATTGCTTGTTCTTTAGACTCGTGCTCGGGGTCAGAGGCATAAGAGGAAATGAGCTCGACTTCGGACTGCGTCCTCGACGGCTCCACCCCTCGCCACTTATTGTCATCGCACTATGGATGGCAGGCAGCTCTCTGCCCGTACTATCCACACCACAGATGGTGATCTGAATGTCCTCTCGTACTTGCAAATTCTGAGCAATTAACACCTTGAAGATGTTTTTGTTTTATTTCTCTTTTTCACTCTTGGGCAGACAGGTCATGCCTGCTGATGATCTCAGCGATTGGAGCGCGCACAACGCGACTCCTCACTTAGCAGTGATATTAATCCATTCAGAGCTGCCCTTAGTAAGGTTGTTTCGTGCATTGCACAAATGTGCACGAAAGTAGTTTCGTGCAGCACTAAACGTTTGTGCACATTTCGTGCACTTGCGTTTAACATTTTATTACGTATATAACCCATTCTTAAGACATGTATTCCCAATAATATTTTCAACATTAATGGTGTACTCAAATCACCACAATAATTGTAGATTTCAGTCCCTCCAGTCGAAAAGTTGCAGTGCCAACAATAATTCTAACTGAATGGAGCTGCTGTGCGACGACCTCTAGGCATCACTCTCCTGTGTAACTTCCTCTCGATTTAAACTTCAATTCACTTCATCGGGTCCTAATAAAGAGCAAAATGACGCAGCAGAACGATGTCCATTCCTGACGAGTACGTTACGGAAGCCTCTGCTGCACACAAAGTGCTTAGCTGCATCCCACCAGCGTACGAACAGTGCCGAAGAAGATTCGAGCAGTACTGGTGATGAGCAAGAGACTCAAA